GATGGATGTTTAAAATGACCCACAATTCACAACAGTATAGCAGTATATGCATGGAAATGTTAGTGCTATGTTAAGTGTTGACAGTCATATTCTACCTTTTCATAGGACACAGTATCAAACATTTCTTTTATCTGGGTGGGGTTCTCAGCCTCACAGGATATGGGCCGGGAGGAGTTCAAGGAATCCCGACCAATGGCAACAAAGCAAGTGTCCAGCAGGTGTTCCTCCTGAGATGGTGAAATTTATGAAAAATAATTGCATAAAGAAATACATATGTTCTCTCAGCAGATATATGTATATCATATATAACTGCATATATGTATATCATATATAACTTTTCAAAAGGTATAAATCTTAAAATCCGACATGTTCATTTATCATCATTCTGAAAAAACATACCACTTTCATCTCGGGGAATGTGGCTTCAACAGAGACAATCTCCATGTATCGCGCAAATCCTTCATTTAGCCAGATGTCATTCCACCATTCCATTGTGACAAGATTACCAAACCACTGTAAAACAGGGGGAAATATGGTGCTGGGGTGAATAAATAAGATATACAAAAATATGGTAACAGTACTGTCCGCTTATTATGCTCACAGTGGATCTGAAGACAAGACTGAGGTATACGCTGGATGGGATGCTAGTCCAGTGGCAGGTGTCCAGGGTACAATATGACATTATATTTTATCATGATAATTATTGTTTGACATAGAAAAAATTATCACGATATAACTAGTCATTATTCCTTTACTTCAATGCTGCCTTTTTGCTTAAAATTCCCTTAGAATTGCTCTTAAACAGATTCAGAACATGAAAAATGTTAAATTGAATATACTGCAAACTGAAATCTAATTTTAAGAAATACATCATACGAAAATAAACATTTTTGCGAAAGGTCGCAAGACTAGACAATGCTGACAGTATGTTTTGTTTCTCTGACTGCACCGCTGTTCATTCCAGGGCATGGGTTTGACTGGGGCTGGGCGATTTGCCCTAAACATATCACAATATTTTCTGAGATTTTCACGAAATTGATGTTTATCACAGTATTCTAAATTTTTTATGTGGAAAAAGGTAAAATAAGACAGCTGGTTTTAAGTTTTCTGATTACAATGACCAAATTGTTTTACTAATAATTATAAAGCATGTGACAGGTATAATGATAAATTACACAAGCAGACCTTAGTGGAATTAGTGTGAATATAGTGCGTTATAACTGTCAATTATGCAAGAAAACAAATATTTAGGCTATATCACGATAGTTATGATATTGAAATTCATGACAATATAAATGTTCATAATCACAGTACAATTTTTATCGATATATTACCCGGCCCTACGCACACATCATACTGTAGAGGAAATTTAAAGCTTCTGGACAGTTAGCTTAACTGCATTTCTTTTGAATGTGAGAGGAAACCAGGGTACCTGGAGTAACCACACGCAACGCAGGCAGAACACGGAGGAGGAATATGTTCTTTTTTTTAAACAGGGAGGCACAGTTGATAGCACTGCTGCCTGACACCAGGACTGGGGGTAAGAATCCGGCCTCAGCACCGTCTTCAGAGTTTAGACGTTCCACTGGGTACTCTGGTTTCCTTCTACAGTCCCAAGATATGCAGCTAGGCTAAGCGGCATTCTCTATATTGCCTGTAACCTGTGACTGTATGCATGTGTCCTGAGTCTACCCCTGTCCAGTATATGAAGTAGGATGGATGGATGGATGGATGGATGACAACATATCTGAACACATTGGCTGGTACCTACCTGGTGAGCTAGTTCATGGGCAATCACCAGGGTCACCCACAGCTTGTCAGAGGCAGATGAGGTCTCAGGGTCATAGAGAAGGGATGTTTCCCTGTAGGTAGTCAGGCCCCAGTTCTCCATGGCGCCTGACTGGAAATCAGGGATGGCAATTAGATCTGTCAAAGAAGTAAAAACAATGAAGATGAAGACTCATTTAACAACAACTTAAATTTCTCAGACCCTTTCATAAACCATGGCCAGATGAACACATTTGCACAATGCAAAGGCATCTTTACAACCAAAAATGCAGAAAATGGAGGCTTACCCTGCTTTGGGAGGGGATATAAGATATTAAAATAACTCTCATAGAACTCCAAAATTTTAATTGCGGCTTGCAGGGCGTATTGTGTCTGATCCCACTTATCAGGAATAGCGTATACTGAGACCTACGGGAACAGCATTAAGACAACACTGAACCTTTTCAAATCAACATTTGGTTTTAGTGTTAAAATGATTTTACAATGTTCATCTCATGCATCCATAGATTGAACTGCAATTAGAATTTGAAAAATGATATACAGAATATTTGTAGATGTAAACTGGCACAATATTTCTTCCAAAGCAACATGCAAGTGAGGGTTAGAGAGCAGAGTTAGACACCCTACCCCTGGGGAAATTGGGTGTCTAAGCCAAAGGACCTTGTTCATGGGCCCACTAGGAACATCACTCTGGCAGCCTCGGGATTTGAACTGGGAAATTGCTGATTGCTGGCACTTTTTAGGAATCTTAACCCACAGAGACCAAAACCACCCCACAAAAGCAAACTTCCTGTGTAAAATGTGATGTATTGTAAAAAAGATTTCGTCGTACGTCAATGCCGGACGAGGTTCTTCCACTGACTGACTTGAATTCACAGACAACGAAGGCCACCAGATAAGTGCTCATCCGCACGCTCGTTTCAAAGTGATCCTCAAGCAGACCTCCCTCCAGGGCCACCGTTTGTTCCTGCCAGCAGAAACAAGCACAATTTTGAGGCCTGCAGATTTAAATAATTTGGCACAATAAGGGTTTGCCTTGAAGTAAGTGCCGCACAGGATTGCCACACGTACGATGGGCATGTTGGAGAGTGCAATGTGTTCCCGATTTCTTCTAATCCTAACGGAGTAGTTGGCTTTGAAATTCGGCTCATCAAAACATGGAAAGGCCATCCGTGCAAATGTGGGCTCAAAGTGTGTGGATGTCAATATTCTGCACACGGAACAGAAAAAAACAAGTTTTTATTTTCTTGTGAAAAGATCCACAGAGCATCATTGTGATACTTCCTCTCGTCAAATTTTATTTTTCAAACATCTATGAGAGCTGCTTGCTTCTTCATTTTACTTTGACTGAAACGAGAAGAGCATTACCTTGTTTCCCCCGTTTTTGTTTTGTACGAACTCTTGTATAGGCCGTAAAATCCATCAGATAATGGAGCAGTGAATTCAAGATGAAGGAAATACTTTTCCCCTGCAATCAATATTTTTGGAGAGAAAACTGCAATCTGCTCATGGGGCAGGTACTCCAGTACAGGCAGAAGCCTCTCTGATTGGTAGGCCTCACTCTCATCCAGGATGGTTGCTGTCTTGATGGTGAGGTTTTTGCTGTGCAGTACAATCCAGTTGGTGTCATTCTTGACGTCAATCTCAATCCTGACTGAGCCGCTGAATCTGAGTGTGGTCAGGTTGGGGTGTATGAGCATGTGGTATTGGATGGGTATCACGTAGTTTGGCAGTCGGAGTTTGCTCCATGGAAATGGAAGGCCATTCAGAGCTACATGGGCTTTCTCTCTCACTGTGTCCTTGGCTTCTATGGCAAGACTGGCCTTAATGACGAGAGTCAGCAGAAGAGCTAAAGTCGACAGCGACATCATAGAAGGGAATGACTGCAAAACGTGTAAATTAAAACAACATAACTTGACATCAGCACAGATAAGAGCAGCTACGATGTCAGCATTGCATCTTGAAGGACCTCTTAACCTAAAGGGAAAAATAAAAATAAAAAAAATAGTGTTAGACTGTGCCTTTAATTTGAATTTATACACACAGTACTGTGCGAACGTCTTAGGCAGCAAAAGAAAATGATGTTTAAATGATCTTTATATTGATGTAAAACTATGCTGTTATGCTTGTCAAAGTGTGTTAGTTTAGCCGTTTCAGAACGATTCCTAAAATCACTCCAAGTACTTGCTGCACCCATTCACTACACCCATGTATTTTTTGAGTTAACCACTAACACACCTGGTACAGCTAATCAATATCTCATTGACTTTTTAAAAGTAATTAGGTTAGTTAATTAAGTTAAGTGGAGGTGAAATTTAATAAGGACATGGAATGGCTGTGGTGCCCCTGAGGAGAGGTTTGGGAACTGAAGCGGTGTTCATATAGCCATCCAACTGATGCCATTTTTACTATTTTGTATTCTATTACTCCTAATTTATACCTGTACTGTTTTTTTTTTTAATGTGCACGTACTATCCAGATAAATAGCTTTAAACATTTCCTTTGACTGCCTAAGATTTCTGCACAGTACTGAAAGTATACAGTATATGCATGTATGTATGTATGTATATACGTATGTGTGTGTGAGTGTGTCCTACACATCATAAAAGTTAATTTGGCCTACCCACAGGAGGGAACACGGAACAGCAAACACAACATAATCCCTCCTATTAACAGAAGTTCAGTGTATAGGTCACACTAGGACTAGCACAAGGTCAGAATACATACACATGTGGCTTTGCTGTAAAGTTAAAGCACAGAATGAAGGCTGCCTTCCCCTGCAGCGCAGCTAAGTAGCTAGATGCGTCGCAGCCGACTGAGGAAACGGTCATTCATTTGGAAGCGTGTTGGTGTGCAGCCCGCCGAGTCCTCATTTTTACGTCTAAGGTCAACAGATTCACCATAAATACCCTGTCATTAATTTAGAATAAGCGCTGATAATACATATGTGAGACATTCACGGTCTGGTGTTTATAGGAGATATTTCCCTCTATTTAGGAAAACGAACCGTGTTTACCTTCAGATCTGCTGCATCACTCGGCTTCCTGCGCTGTGCTCAGCTTTCATTTTCTCTTTCATGTATCTTACCCACAATTCCCGCCTGTGCAGCTGCTGTTTTTCACGGCTACCGGCTGCCGCGCGCCCTTCTATATGTAGATGGGAGCAGAAAGAAGCTCTGGCTCGCGCCGAAGAACAAAAGCGGCTGAGAACAAATGGTGTCGCTGCTATGTCAGATATGCCACGCTCTGACCTACTTTTACCCGTCTGCTTTCAAAGCCTTCAAGCTGTATTGTTTTTCTTTCTGTACCAGTTTTTTCTTTCCATTAACTTTTTTGCTTATTTCTTCATAGTTCTTTAACAGATGCAATAATCAATAACACCAATTCTGGGAAAACATAAGAGTTTAATCGTGGGATAACAACTTGATTTGGCATAATTGTTGAAGAAGTGAATGTTGAGTAAAGTGCAATATAACAATGAGTGATATGGAGTTCAGACATCCCGTATTTTGTTTGGTCGTTCCGTATTCAAAGAAAAAAATGCCGTGTTTGAACCGAAATGGAACGGGATGCCCCTCCCCTGTTTATTGAATTTTGTCTTATTTCTTCAGACTGGAAGTGGCAACCCTGGGTGCATTTGACACAGGGGCACAGTGTGAATTGCTTAAGCTCCACAAATGTAAGTTAGACATATACCTTATCATTTGACTAATTAGGTTGAGGATGCATATTGCTTGTCATAGCTATAGTGAAGCAGTCACTGACTAAGTGTAATGTCACATTTTCAATATTAATTGGCGTAATAATAATAATAATAGGATGAAGAAGGAAACTACAGGCACAAGGCAGGGAATAATCCGGGATAGGGCACCAGCCCATCATAGGGCACAGGAGGATAGGATCCAGATTCCCTAGACACTGCGTAGGACAAGCAAGTACAGAAAATAGCAGGGTCGCCAACTCACATCTGGCTCATGCTTTATGACTCTCACGCACAGAGAAATCTTATGGCAAATTTATATTATTCCATTATAAATCTAAAATCAGCTGCTTCAAAAGTGCCGGGGTAGTCCGCAGACCCTACAGACTACGTACAAGGTAATAAAACTCTAACATACATGTAAATGCATGTGCATGTTCGTGCAGACTTATCTCGGATTGAAAGCCAGCTGACTGAAGTTGGTGACACTGAAATAGATGTACTGTATAACAATAATAATGATAATAATGTTCAGCAGGGCGCAGCATAGCAACTCACACCTGCAGGGTTGGGTGTTTGAATCCCATAACTGGCCCTCTGTGTGTGGAGTTTCCATGCTTTTCTTTGTGATTCTCTACGGGATTAGAAACTGTATGGATGTCGGATGTTGGAGAGACAGATGGATAATAACACACTTTTCCTCCTATTAATTCTTTCAGGTGGTGTAACGTTGTTTGTGTGTGTTGGAGTGACAGCCTTCAGAGCCAGAGGCATAGAAGAACGGATCAAAGTGCTTCATGCTTAAGATGCCTTGTGGAACATGCCTTCGCACCTCTACATGCTTCAGATAGCAGCCCTGACATGACAGTCCTACCACCTGCTGCTTGACAGTTTGTGTTCAGTGAACCACCTGCCGGGGTCTTAAACAAAACATGAATATGGCAGAAGTTATAGTTTTATATAAACTGGATGAACCCTGGGGGCAGAACGGCATGTGGGCTTCAAAGCAGATGTGGACCTTATTTCTAACGATATTATAAAGTTCTGTGAAGTAACATATTTGCTCTGAGGAAGCAGTACAAACAAGAAATGGCAGATGAGCACATTGTACACTCCCTAACATAACAGCACATGATGTACAGTGTAGCTGCCATTCAGTAACTAGGTGCAAGGGGTTGTTGGGGTGGTGGGAGCTTATCTGGGGTGTAGCTCTTCAAGCAGGGTGCCCTTAACGCCTTGTGTCAGAACTGGCCAGAATGTAGCAGGTGTCTCCTCCTCTGTATATGTACTTTCCAGAATGTCTTGCCGTGGATTTTTTTCAGCCAATAAGCATCTGAACCTAGTAAAATTTGGAACGCCATATTACTCAAAATGAAATATTTTAATTAATTAATATTACAATATTTAAATGTGTCCTTTTATTTTACAATAATAAAAATATTATTTTATATGATAACTTAAATAATTCAAATTATATTTCACAGTGAAATTCAACTTTTCACATTGATGTATTTCTGAATGAAGGTTTTCTGAACCAGCTTTGTATTTGATTTAAAAAAAAAAAGATTAAATATCTTTAAATTATAATAGGAACTTTCTTAAATGAACGTTTTAGAACATAATTACCAGATGATGTATTATAACATAGTGAAATGGCCTGTTATAATATAACAATAATTATAACATAGAAACCATGACTTACACAATAATTATTTTACGGCACAGAGACACTGTAAACTGCAATCACTGGCATAACATGGGGAGACAGAGGACCCGCGAAGATAAAGAGCAGCCATTCAGGAAGTTTGTACTTTAAATGCATTGTCTGCTTGTCTGCTATGAGAGCAGACATTTACAGTATTACATGACATACAGGCACCAAAATTTAAAAACACGAAAATAATTTTCTGGTCTCCCCTATCTAATTACATGCTGTTTTTTTTTTATCCGCAAACTCACTGGCTGTTATCTCAGCCTTTCCCAGCAATTTCCCGACTGGATCCCGATCCAAAGCATCTCATTTCACACCACCAAATCGCTTCCTTTCCATTTAACACTGAAAATGGTCTGTGAATATGAATTCCCTGAATGCGAAATTCTGGCATCACACCATTTATTTGAATACTGCTGGTGGTTGACTTATTGACACTACTATACCCACACATTCTTGTTTCATATGAAGCTGACTCGTATGTCGTTTTACTATTAAAGTTTTAATCAGTGGCTGAATATACTCAAATTAAGCAGCTCTCGCCCATCTTACAAGTGATACTGCGTTAAATAGGGCAACATGTAGTCAGTTCTGCTACGTGTGATATTACTCCGAGAATTTGTTCTACCAAGATTGATATACAGATGCTCCTCTACTTACGAATGAGATACGTTCCGAACGGCCGTATGTAACTTGAAATGTTCGTAGGTTGTTATTACTTTAAGGGTATACGCAAGTTCAAAGATCTAGGATGCTGGGAGTGCGCACGCTACGCTACTAGCATGGCGGGAGTAGCGGCCAGAAGTTGTACTAGGCGGAATGGATTGTACTAGTTTACATGCGTATTACGTCACGATTTGTGCGTAGCGGCCATTTTACCAGGGAATGTTGGAGATGTCCGTCGCACAGATGCATAAAGTTCTGTATTTCTGTTCAATGTTAAAGAAAGTTTCATATAAACTAAATGTATAGCGAGTGCTCAAGACTATGAAAAGCTGTATTTTGTTCAGGCAAATGGGACTGAGGCATGTCTTCATATCATTTGAAGGAAGCAATCTACCACACAGTTAACCATAAAGTGTAAATGCAGGCGCAATGAGGCGCCGTAACGCTTTCTTAAATGATCATAATGCGTGAATTCCCAGCTTTGTCTTACAGTAGGGTGCTGAAAATAAAGTCAAAGAAACTGTTATTTAGATATACACTCAAAAAATACAAACGGGACCCGCAACTGCGACGCAGATGATATGCAACGTCAAGTTCACCAGTCGGTTCTCCCTTTTACACAAGCTCAGTGGCTATAAAAACTCCCACATTTAGATGATAGAAATTAACGTTGTCCTTAGGAACAAAACTAGCTAGTCTGATTTATCGCTTATGAAGGTTTCCATATATTACCAAAACACAAGCTGCCACTGCCTGAGCATTGAAATTAATTTAGAATGCCACTAGCCTTAGCTAGAAGGCTAGCAAAATAATTTACAAGTTCTAGAGCACAGTGCTGCTGTTTGCTAATCGTCCTATACTGACATTCAGTCAGCAATATATGCCTATTTTACTGCATATACTAATAGGCAATTTGCGCCAATCACCAAAGCAGCTTCTTTCCTTGGATAATGTGAAGGATGGCGATAGGCTGTATTTAAAAGTCTGTAAGCCTAGCGATGAATGTTCTTAAAATGGCATTTTATTAAGTATTTTAAAATTCACAGAATACAATCTCTCAATCTGTTTTGTTTCAAATAAGCCTACATCTGATTTTTTCCGTCCAGCAAAATACAAATTACAAAATGCTCAAAAGGAAGTGAATACACATTTTTAATGCATTTAACTGAAATACTGCCCATTCTCAGAACACAGAACATGCCACTTCTTGACAGTATCGCCGTTCAAGTTCTTTCGACCGATGGACCTTAGCCAAGTTTTCTGTAGCCTTCCGGCAGCTCTTCGGTCTCTTTGCCTTGATTTGTACGATCCGAAGGTACAGTATACAGAAGAAACTGAGATTCGCGGTTTTCTTGCTGCTGTTATCACTCACACCCCGGTAAAATGGCCGCCGCCTCGTTTTCATTTATGCGTACCTTGGACAATGACGTCAGCTTAATACGACCCATTGGTGCACAGAAAAAAAATTGATGTTGCGCACAGGAATCAGGAGCCCAATGAACACAATTTGGACTTATAGTGCTCTTCGTTCGTATGTCTGAAAGTTCGTAAGTTGAAAGTTTGTAAATAGAGGAGCGTCTGTATTACTACCAAAGTCCAAAATACAACATGGAATCACATTTGTATTTCCACGATTTTAGTCTGATAGAAAAGCACTACATGAACTACAACACGATATGGTCTTAGCGAGCATAAACAGCTCTCCAAGTGAACGATATTTATGTACGATTAATGAACCAATCTTTCGTTTGAACCCGTTCTTTTCAGTGAATCGTTAGAACCGATTTTCAAATATAAAATAATCAAACTTTTTGTACATCCACGTATTGCACAGGTCAAAGTCTTAAATTCTAAAAATATAAAAATATTTGACAAATTATCCTGTAAAAATACAGCAAATAAAAAAAAAAATCACATTTGCTTTTCATAGGTGTCAGCATCGGGATCCGGCGAACCAGAAATCAGGCGAGTGGCAGCCAGGAGTTCAGGTAACGGGGTTTATTTAGCGAAAGGACGGACATCTACGGACAATACGCTGACACTACAATGACAAGTCTCGGGAAGACTGACTCAGACGAGGACTAAATACAAAAGACAAGCTAGACTTAATAGGACACAGGCGATCACAATCAGGGCTGAACACGAGGTAACGAGGTGGGCGTGGCACACATTAGGATCGAACGGAGCAGGGTGTGACAATAGGTTGTTGCCACGTCGCCATCAGTGTCCTTCCACATACCGTAATCCGATGTATTTATGCTGTGTGCATGCCCAGCTGGAACTACTACCTGACTAATAATTGTCAAATTCATGAACCATTTCCTGTATTTTTTGACCACACTAGATGGTGCTCTCTGTTCAAAAAAGGCTTAACACTTGCCCCAAAATAAACCAAGACCACCATCTAGTGGGCTCAGAAAGTATATTAAATGGTTCATGATGTGTTGTCTTGGCCATCACTACTCCCGACTTTGGATAAGATAGCGAGTTTGGCACGTTTGGTTGAACTGCTGACTAGGCAATTCTCGTGAGACTCATAAGACTCATAGGAGATGTTGCATATAATTACATTATTGGCCACTGGTATCACTGTTTTTATAATTTAATTCATTTTATTTTGGCGTAGGTTACTAAGTTTGGAGTCGCATTCCCCAAACCCCATTTTCCCCATTGGATATGTGTATTTTAGTACACAATATTACTGAAGGTGACATTTTTCAGGAAGCCATTAGTTGCCTTATAGTAGGACTGACGTATTCCTGTAATCTATCGGCTGTTTTAATTGGTGGAGATAATATATTTAATAAAAGAATTGTGGTGCCATAAAGGAAACTTAAAAAAAATTAACTATGCTACTTTTTGCATTTTGCTATTTGGCTGCAGGTAAAATACAGCAGCATGACAGTGAAGTAATAAAAATCTACAACTGTCAATAACGGCAACTGTCTCTTCTACCCACTTCAGCATCTGCTCTTGTTTTTTTCTTTCTTTTGGCACCATGTTTCTCACAAGTGGGTCTTGGGTCACATGACTGTCGCCTGATAATACTTTTGCTGCAGCGCTCAACACCCTAAACCTGCACAGGCAGCAATATGCTCCTCAGCTTCCTGACAACGTTTTTTCTGGCAGGTAAGTATTGATTTACTAATTTACAATGAACAGGTTAGTCAAATGGATAAACAGAGGGCAAAATTGTTTTCTGGCTGTTGTGTAAAAGTTGGGTTTCAGACTTGTGAATGGTGCAAGAAAGGCTTATTCTAGAGTAGTATGATTCATAAAATACTGGAGTTCAAGTGAATTTGCGGCAACCAGCTGGGTCATAGTGATATTAAATAATTAAAGTAAAATGTGCAATTATATAAATCCTTTTAAGAAGAGCGGGCATTTGGAATTCCTGCTTTGTGGCTGAATTATATGGTGCTAAATGGTTTGGTTGTATTTTCCCATTCTGTGTGTGTGTGTGTGTGTGTGTGTGCAGCAGCTGAGGCTGAGGTTTCTGGCATCGCTACTCCTCTGTTTCACCTCCCCGGGGAGCTGGACGGCAGGACGCTCCTAGTCTGCCTTGTCAGCGATCTTCTGCAGGATGACGTGGAGGTGGCTTGGATCTCCAGTCGCGCAGGGAGGTCTAACCAGACCTTCTACAGTGTTCTAAGGGAGGATGATGGCTCACACAGTGTCATGTCTATCGTCTCTGTAGCTTTACATGAATGGGAGTCATTCATGTGCTTCGTGAGCTACACTGGGCTGGCCAACCTCAAAACCAGGCATTACATTGGAGTATCAAGTAAGACGTCTGACAGGAATTCACTGTGCGAACAGGGATTCTAATCTCACACGCAGCACATACGTAGAGCCTAACATGTTCTTTTCTTTTAGAACACAAAGATGATGGCACCTGTTTGGATTATCGAACTAATATCTCTCAAGGTAAATGAGCATCAAAGTATCAGACTTGAACTTCAGAGGCTGATATATAAAATAAATGTTAGAAGAGTTGGGTTTATGTATGCTGAAATTTTATTGTAATAATATATATAAACACATACAGTATTTAGTAATTTACTGAATACATACAGTATTTAGTAATATACTGAATTTCTTCATTAATCATTCATTTTGTCCATTTACCATGGACATTAGGTGATGTAGCTTCCCTCGATAATTATGTAAGCTACCCCTATTGTTGTCCATGACATCTAAGGCAGTGTTGTTACATTTGCCATAAATCTGCTTTTTTCTGTGTCATCTAGATATATTCTCAGTGATCCGGACACAGACTGATGCTATCGTCATTGTGGCTCTCAGAATTCTGTTTCTAAAATCCACTGTTTTCAATTTTTTGATGACCACACGGGTCATCATGAACAGGTAAGAACCATTAGCATATAACTGCGAGCAGATATGTAGTTTCACAGCCTTGCAGTTTTATATATTTACCACTAAAGATACAGCAGTGTGACCTGAAGGAATGGGGTTCTGCAGATGGAACCCGGAGCAGGTTCAACTGTGTTTCCACTGTGACTTCAAGCTTAGGGCTCGAACTGCCTGAACGCCATGGCTGCTATTGCAACAACCCATGGTCCACAGTGACGACACGCAAAAGCAGATGCATTAGACAGGCTTACTGGAGAAAATACAACCAGCACTGCACTGGGCCAATGCGATTCATTATGTAATGCAAAATAACCACAGTAATAGATGGATAATTAATAATTACTAGAAATTAAAAATAAATTATGGAATTGTGAACAGGCTTTTTCTGAGTGTGAATCCATATTCTTATTTTCTCTGCATAAGTAAAAATTATTAACATTCAATGATACACATAATCCATTTAATACACATGCTAATATTATTATCTAGTACATGTGCAAGTATTATTATACTGCTTAATAATATGGTGTAATGGAAACTGTTTCTCCCCTTCATTTATTCCCCAGTGGAGACATCAGGGAAGAGCAGAGTGTAACAGTGGAAAGGGTTCTGACGCACTCCCTGGCCTGCAGAGCCCACTTTCGGCAAGGAGTGTGACAGGTCAGTCGTCACCTCACAGCTATGCAACAGGAAGCCGGCAGATGCCTATGAATAAACGAAAGGATCAAAGTAAAAATCCTCACTACCCCCCTCTGCTTCCTGTAGCAGCGAACAGCAATGGAAGAGTTGGACTGAGCCACAGAGGGACGCCGTACCCTTCACCCGGGCAGCTGAAGGAAAGTCTCCGGAGCTCGATTCTTAAAAGAAGGATCCATAGCCTAAGTAACTGCTGTTGTACCGTTAAGCGAGCTGCTGACTGACCGTATTGCAGTCCTCTGGGATACAGTAGATGCAAAATTTGATAGCATTTTGATGAATAAGCCATGAGATCGATGACAGATCGCACTGCTCGGTGGTAAAAAATTGTAGTGGGAAGAAAATCTTCTGTAAAGCTGTCAATTTTGAAAATGATTAGTTGATGAAGGCAGGATTATGTCCAATTTTTTTCCCAATGATGCCTTTGGGTTTTACTTTGGTTAATTTAACTTAGAGAGCTTGTTTCAGTGTTTGAAGATGAACGTCTGTGAACATACATCTGTGAACTTCTAGCTTTGCCATACGCCACAAACCAGGTGTGATGAATTGTGGGATGTGGGAATTCATCCAAAAGAGGCTCACCTGCGGCCTACTGATAGCATCATCTATCCAACCTGCGCAACTAACCAGGGCAAGCAGATGTTTCTTTGTGTTGCGCAACTCCTTTTGACTTGTGTACCAAAACAACAGAGCAATATAACTCTTACAAAAAAAAAAAAAAAAAAAAAAAAACATGGTTGTGTCACAAGAATGCGATTGATTCTGAATGTGTTTCAAACCACTGAAATATCAGATGCATTAAAAGTTGGATCAGGGACATCCATTATATTAGTATTAAATCAAAAACATCGTGATGTGCTGCCAGAATGGAGCAAACACTAGGAATAAAAAAGCACATTCAAGGCATTTAGAATAGCGAGGCTTTATTAAATTAAATATTCAGGAAGGGCAGCCAATTAAAAAGCTTTCTTCAGCCCCGAAGGCCATGTGCAGATAACCATTCATATTTTCTCTGCTGCCATTTTTCAGATTGTCCTTCCTGGAGATGATTTTCATTTTATTTTTCTTGGAAATAAAGAACTGTAATGGAAGTCAACGGGGCCACCCAGCAAATCACGTGGCAACAGCAGGACTCTGCTACACGGTGTATAGGTACTGACCCAATGCCAGGCGGAGAGCGTAGCTTTTTGATGTGGTATACAAACTGACATCCACACGTGACTCAAAAGCCCATATGAAGGGTTAGGGTTTGCTCGATTTCGCTCTGTACTACAAGTCTAATTTATGATCTAAAACGACTGCATATCATACGATAGTGTCGTTTAAATAATGACCGTTATTTATTATCATATTTACTTTGTTATTAAAACACAAAAATCTGTCAGGTTGAAAACTGGTGTTCATAAACCGCAAAGCAATTATCTTTAACATATTATGGAATATCAAATAGCTACACCGTTTCTTCCGTTGACAGTAACTAAACAGATAAAACAAGCTATATTTAAACTTTCAATTGACTTAGACACTAATGTACACTTTAAACCATTAACCTCCAATGAATTGAGTGTTACAGCCAAGATTAACGGCATTTTGTAGGCCTGCTAGCGATTTACCATCGATAGTACAACAGAGAAATGTGATTTTAACACATCAACACATGTCAGCGCTGTGACTCTTTGGTGCGAACTGCCCCAGGACTTGTTCTAACCAATCCGTTCAAACTTGCTGGTGACTAGCTAGTCTAAAAAGTAACAAATTAGATTTAAAATAAAATCACTGGCCCCAGCTGTTTCCAAAATTCAATTAGGGCATAATTAGAAAGGAAGGAGGAAATGCGCTACGTCAGCGCCAGAAGACAGAGCTTTGCACAGATTTACTGTCAAATTAGCATAAACAGACACTCCAACAATACTGACGTGACTTGGTAAAACTACAAATCTTGGAAATCCGCTATATAATACATATCGTTTGCAAAGATACTGGCATATTAAATTTGCACTCACAAGTGAATACACACACACACAAACCTCAACTGTAATCAGGGGCGGATTAAGGTGTACAGAGGCCCCTAGGCTACAGTAGTCTGTGGGCCCCCCAACCCCGCCCCCCTCCGCGCCAATGGGGGCCCCCTTGCAGGTTGGCACACGTGGGGCCCCTAGGCTTAAGCCATATCTAGCCTGTGCGTTAATCCGCCCCTGACTGTAATGAATAAAATAAAATAAAAAAACACAACACGGGAACCTTTTATTATTTATTTTGATTTTAAATAAAACACTTGCACACATTTTTCACCGCAGCCAGTAAAGAGCAAAACACTGACGTAACAATTCTGATCCACTAGGTGGCAGTACAATCACATCTGAACATTTGTTTTCCAACAGCAAGAATATGGAGCTTAATTTCCTCTAACAGGACACTACATTTATAAATAATTTAAGTATTTAAACATTGAGCAGTCATTCTTCACAAAACAGGTAACGTATATTTATACACGTTAAAAAACCACTAAGTAAAATGCTGGACAAAAGGAAACACAGGATGAAGGCTTACTTTTGCAGATAATTGCACTCAGAGGCCTTATTCTGACCATAGATATTGCTGCGTCCTAGGATATCTATGGTTCTGCTAACCATTGCATGTGATGAACTCCCAGTGTTCCATCTATAATCTATAAAACATCACAGTATGGAAGCAGCACTTCAGCAATGGCAGTAGTTACAAGAAACTGGGATCAAAATCTACAGTAGCAAGTTTCAGGAGTTGAAGAGAAATGAGCATGGATAAGAGGAGGCGAGGAGGACTGCGTGCTGCCATTTTCTAATGAGACTGGGGGCCCTGACATGCCGCCTGGAACAGCCTCACAGACAGAAGTGCTTTTTGCGCTTTCACACAAAGGGCTGCACTGATGGATAAAATCGCCATAATGCAATTTCATAGAATTCCACCTTCTACCTACCCAAGGCAAAAACGGCTGTCAATGGCAGCATAAAACTGAAATTAAATTCAATTTCCATGGGACGTACACCAGCCGGGGCGGAACAACAAAGTGCACCTGACGTGACCCACCCCCCCCTTCCTGTGCACAAGTCAATTTCACCAGGCTGCTGCTGTTCCGTGGGTCACCTTCCTTCAAACAGATTTAACATCAGGAGCGTGCCAAATGAAGCGAGCATCAGGGCAGAGCGGCGAGATGGGCCTGTCACTCCAACTGAATTAGCCTAGGAGACAATGTCTGGGGGAAGGTCATCAGGGCTTTGTCAAAAATAACGTGCACGCCGCACAAATTGTCTGTGCCTCCCATGGTGTGGGGCGTGTTCAGCAAAGGGAGAGAGAGCTATACTGGATTAGTGTCCAGCACTCAGAATCCACAAGGCCTTTTGAAAACGTCTTAGGATATAAAATAAAAACACAAAATGGCAAATTTTGTGATCCTCTTATGTAAAACAGCAATATTCACCTGCACGGAAGGTGCGACAGTTCAGTAGAAGCCCATCAAAATCATGACACCTCTTCAGACGAGCCTGGGGGGGGCAGCGCCATCCATATCCACTCGCATTTGTGCATGAAGATCCCTCAAGGGGTCCATGAGGAGGCTGTGGTGTGGCCACAAAGGGAACCATCCCAAGAGCGACGAGAACATGGTTTTGAACTGGAAAAGCAGAGTGTCCAAACAGGCGGAGCTGGGGGCATCTGAGAGGAAGCTGTTCGGTTTAATTATTCAGCACCACACGAGACCAGCAGAGCCCAATAACAGAGCGGAATGGAAAAGGAGCACCATACGAGTACAGCAGCTTCGATGGCTATTTCATCCCAAACCATCACTTGCCTTTGTTCCCTAGAGAAGAACACGCTGAACTTCTGAGGGGGAAAAAAACCCCAGAATTTTTAAAGGCTGATGCAGAACTGACATGTCAGTCCACACAAATATGTGACTGCAAGTCTTACAGAGGTTATATGCCATGGGGTCTTACTGCTCTTTGCAACTGTTAAGGGAAATAAAAAGTTTTGAAGCCCCAAGGAACGAAGACCAAAGAAGAAGCGGCCATCATCAGACCCTTCAGCACTTACTGGCCACACTGGACTGCCGTGCAACACACATTCTAATAAGAAAAGGTCCCACTGGACTTATTTGAAAAATTTTGGTGCAGCTATTATGACCGTATGGGTAGTTTTTTTTTCAATTTTTTTTTTTAGGGACTTAGTGGGGTCCTGCGTGCACCCGGAACCGTGCTCGCTCATTAAGGTTCAAACTCGCCTACAAAATTCCTTATATGTACAGTATAATTATAGCTCCTTTAACATTTAAGGGATACATGAAAAGAAGTTAAGATGCATATGGGTGCCGTAACCTGGAAAGACCCATCCGACAGCAATAACACTGAGTTTCGTGAGGAAAGACGCAGAACATCAGGAAGCTAAATGCAGGAATTTGGGGGGGAAAAAAAACAACAGTCAGTTCTGTCCATATCGTAACCCTGCCCAAAAGTACATCCACCAAAACGCCGGACCACAACCAGATCTGCCAAAGCCGGCATCTAGATAAAGGCCCGTTCAGATGCTGAAAATGAGGAATGACATTTCAGGGGCGCTCCTGGGGGGGGGGGGCTCAGCTCTGATCCAAGGAATACTGATTCATTATTCACAAAAATAAAAAAATAAAGTGCTTCTGTTAAAACAATTTCCTCGTTCTTGAGGTATTACAGGGAAAAAAATAATCACAAAAAAAACCTACAGCCAGCATTCCTGCAAATAAAATGTACAAGAATATTTACAATCAGGAGTGTTTCAGTTTTCCAGATTGTTCTCTCTTCATATACACAGTATATACATATATACCTCGTTAGCGTTTTTTTTTTTTTTTTTTTGTTTCTTCAATATATTATGACAATATATATACACATTTAATCTTCTCAAAGTTCATACGGAAATATCTTAGAAAAGCATGGTGATGAGAAAGCCGAGGATTAGAGGGAAGAGAACGGAGGGGACGTGGGAACAGGCTGCGTTCCCCCTGGGGAATATGTGCCATCGCTCTCGTTTGGGGTGTAGGGTCTCCATGTCCTTCAGCGCATTGTAGGCGGCCGAGGTGAAGTTGGCGTCCCCGGTGGTGAGGAGGTCAAACACGCAGGAGTTAAAGTAAATGTCGGGGACCTCCAGCCTCTCGCGGCACTTGGCCGTGGCGGTCTCCAGCGTGAAGCCGGGGTTGGTGCCAGCCCGAGGCCGCTGCCGCAGGCCTAGCACGGGCAGCGCTAGGTGGCCGTCACAGTCGATGCGCTCCGCAGTGGGGCAGCCGTTGACGCAGAGCTGCAGGTCCTGCGACTCGTCGTAGGCCATGGCCAACTCCTCGGGGACACGCGTGGCCAACGTTAGGTAACGGCCCAGCTGACGCACGATCACCGTGATGCCGGTGTAGCCGGCGTGGATCTCCACATGCCGCCCCGGCACCTTCTCCACGATCCACAGGCTGCGAGTTTCGCCGTCACCGCTGCTGACCGTGCCGTCCGTAAAGGCCACCGGCAGGTCGTCGGTGACTGCCTGGTACACCTTCTGCTCGGTGCAGTCCTGGTACGGCTTGAAGATGATTGTGATCTGGGCAAACGAGAAAATGCAAATGGAATGAATGTAGGAAATCCATCCATCTTCCGTAAGATAACCAGCACAGGGTTTCGGTGA